AATAATAATAATATAATATATATTATAATTAATATAATTATATATAACGTTATATTAGTATAAAAAAGATACTTTCTTTTAAGAATTTAAACTCATAATTGTGAAGTGAAAAATCTTCCTCACATTAGGACTAAAATAAAGATTAATTACATATATATCAATCTTCATTCATTTGTTAGATAATAACTCAGCGTGGTGACGTCTCTATACTACGTTTAACTTGTATCATAATAGTGTTTATTAACACGTTTGCACATACATGCCTTTACTGCACCGTGGGAGAAATTATGGTCGCGCAAGTAAGTACGATACAGCTCGTTGTTGGCTTATTACCAACATGGCAGAATACAAATTGTATTGTAATTATTAAGATTTTCTCGCCCAATATACAATTTTAACACGCAATTTTACGGCGTATAACCGTTTGTTTGTCAAGTGCGAGGGAATTTACGAGGCCGCATGCGAGTGCAAATGGTACACATTGGAGCCGAAAAAAGCGAGAAACGTATTGATCATAATGATTTCCGCCAACAAACCACTGTATCTTACCGCGGGAAAGCTGTTCCCTATGACAATGTCTACGCTTTGTAATGTAAGCAAGCTAAAACAACTTTATACGTATCTAACTTGGTATAAAAAGTTGTTGCAATAAAAATAAAATGATTACAGATTCAATATTCTTTTTGACAAAATATGAATGAATCTTATATTTATTTTCTTAAAATTGTAAATTCATACACGATAACGTTTAAAGAACAGAATAATTAAAATAAATTGCATATACTAATATTATTTTAAATTAGCATTAAAAATATAAGAAACATTAACTGATGAGTATTTAACCGTTGGATTATGTATCTTCAAAAACACACAAAGTACAAAAATTAAAAATCTATATATAATATAAATAATATATTAATATATACAATAAATAAATTATTATATACCTATATAGAGTAGTTAATTATCACTATAATTTAAATTATGCTTTTAATATTTGTCATAAATATTATATGTGTTTTAGTTGTTAAAGACATCGGGCGGTTATATATCGATCTTGCTGGCACATCGGGAATAAAAACGAGAGCGCGCCGACAATATCTAAATTTAAAGCATTGAAAAACATAACAAGAGTCATGTTTATGTAAACAATATTCACGTTTATGATAAATATTTGTCTTACTTATATCATTGTATATGAAATAAAAATTTGATGTAAAGATAATTTGATGTAAAAATAATACTAAATTAATTTACATTAATACTTTCTTAAAACTGTTAAGAATATTTAAAAGCATTCTTTTAGACATCTCACTGTATATAATGTATGTCGCGTTATTTAATTCTAACTCTGATATGTACAAATGTGACATCAAAACATACTTGCTTGTACAGAAAACGATCAAAGCGCGATATTCACAACATTTAGGTATAATCTATGATAGTATAGTCATCTCTACGATGAGCCATACGCATTGGTAATTGTGCATATCCACAGCTCGTCTATAGTCGAATATGTAATTTCACCGAGGCGTAACAAAAAAAAAACTATTTATAAAAGTTAGAGGAGGATCAGCTCGGAAAATTTTCATGTCTCTTGTTGCGCCTCGCAGTTTCAATAAATCATTAACGAGGGGCGCATAGCAGGATCGGTTTCACAATTTCTAGCTAGAGATATCCCGAAAGGAGATCTCGTCCTCATTAAAGAAAGTCATTACACGCACACAAACAATGTTCAAAATAAGACTGCGGTAAAACACGATTAGACAATTATCAATATAATAAATTGAACTTTTAATTTTATAATTCTATTATATATTTAAATATATAAATATATATCTTTTGAATCTCAATCTTTTACGATCTATATATAATAAGCAAAAACATAGAACGCAACTTAATCATGACTTTAAAATTTATTTTCTAGTAATAAATTTTCAGTTTACAAGTTCAATTTTTATTTTCGCGTGCGGCCCTGTGTCTATACTTCAAGTTCGCATTCGTGCTATTAATTTTCTCATTACGGGAACTATATGGCTATAAACATCGCCTTCTTGTTACGGGCATTGCATTATTGATGTGCGACATGTACATCTGTAGAACACGGTATTAAGCGATATAAGAAACATTAAATGATGAGTATTTAACCGTTGGATTATGTATCTTCAAAAACACACAAAGTACAAAAATTAAAAATCTATATATAATATAAATAATATATTAATATATACAATAAATAAATTATTATATACCTATATAGAGTAGTTAATTATCACTATAATTTAAATTATGCTTTTAATATTTGTCATAAATATTATATGTGTTTTAGTTGTTAAAGACATCGGGCGGTTATATATCGATCTTGCTGGCACATCGGGAATAAAAACGAGAGCGCGCCGACAATATCTAAATTTAAAGCATTGAAAAACATAACAAGAGTCATGTTTATGTAAACAATATTCACGTTTATGATAAATATTTGTCTTACTTATATCATTGTATATGAAATAAAAATTTGATGTAAAGATAATTTGATGTAAAAATAATACTAAATTAATTTACATTAATACTTTCTTAAAACTGTTAAGAATATTTAAAAGCATTCTTTTAGACATCTCACTGTATATAATGTATGTCGCGTTATTTAATTCTAACTCTGATATGTACAAATGTGACATCAAAACATACTTGCTTGTACAGAAAACGATCAAAGCGCGATATTCACAACATTTAGGTATAATCTATGATAGTATAGTCATCTCTACGATGAGCCATACGCATTGGTAATTGTGCATATCCACAGCTCGTCTATAGTCGAATATGTAATTTCACCGAGGCGTAACAAAAAAAAAACTATTTATAAAAGTTAGAGGAGGATCAGCTCGGAAAATTTTCATGTCTCTTGTTGCGCCTCGCAGTTTCAATAAATCATTAACGAGGGGCGCATAGCAGGATCGGTTTCACAATTTCTAGCTAGAGATATCCCGAAAGGAGATCTCGTCCTCATTAAAGAAAGTCATTACACGCACACAAACAATGTTCAAAATAAGACTGCGGTAAAACACGATTAGACAATTATCAATATAATAAATTGAACTTTTAATTTTATAATTCTATTATATATTTAAATATATAAATATATATCTTTTGAATCTCAATCTTTTACGATCTATATATAATAAGCAAAAACATAGAACGCAACTTAATCATGACTTTAAAATTTATTTTCTAGTAATAAATTTTCAGTTTACAAGTTCAATTTTTATTTCCGCGTGCGGCCCTGTGTCTATACTTCAAGTTCGCATTCGTGCTATTAATTTTCTCATTACGGGAACTATATGGCTATAAACATCGCCTTCTTGTTACGGGCATTGCATTATTGATGTGCGACATGTACATCTGTAGAACACGGTATTAAGCGTAGCGAATTTTGTCGCACGCAACGATCTACCGCCACCCTAAACGAGGTGAAGAAACTCTCAGTCCCTAAACGAGGGTGGAGAAACTCTCAGTCCCTTCGAAGACGCCGATATGGATACATTAAAGCAGGCATACGCAGGTGTTAATTCTTCCTCGATTACCGGATTAGATTAGACCAATTTATCATCTTATACAGCAGATATATTATACTTTGAGTTATTTTCTATAACGCAAGATTATTGTAAATACAACCTGAAATTAAGCGAAAACGTATCTTTAGAAGAACAATAAGCTAGACATTATCTTTCTAAAATTTGCATAGAATGATGATGTTCTTTTATTTTTTTATATATGTATGTACATTCACACGATTAATAATAATAATAATAATATCTGAGTTTAAACGATATATATATATATCCCATTTTTTTATATTGGATGTGGTGTTTTATGATTATATATATCTTTTGGCATAAGATCCGATGTGTATTTAATCTCTAACAATGTGAATACGTATAGCAAATATAAATATTTATTGAAAAAAAAAAGAATTTTAACGGAAAGAAAAAAATATATTAAAAAAATCGTACATAAAAAAAATGTTTGATGTGTTGAATAAAATAAAATTCTTTTATCATTTTTTTCAAATATAAGTGCAGATTACAAATGGGCCATTAAATTAAATCGGACTTGTTTGAGAATTTTGGGCATTTGGCCCAAAAATAATGAAACTAAATGGGAGAAATTAATCACAAACGTACGCATAATCGTTATGCTAAATATAGGAATTTGGTTTTGTTTAATTCCGAGTGTGCATTCTCTGTTCAAAATATGGGGCGATTTAATGTCAATGATCGATAATCTGCAATATACGTTACCATTTACTATAGCAATGATAAAGTTTTTCATCATGTGGCAGAAAAAAAAAGGTATGCGAACATATATCACTGTAAATTATTACACTGAAAACACGTTTTTTCTCGATATCTACTTTATCTCGAGAATAAGTACGCAACTGTGATGCACATATTCCTACATACTTACTGTTTCTAGATATTCTACCGCTTCTAAACATGATTAAGCACGACTGGTTGAAGCCAAAAATTGTGCAAGAGAGAAATGTTATGATAAAACGAGCCCGACTCGCGTGCATGCTCACAATATTCGGATATTTTATAATGTTCATGTCCTTTTTTTTGGGTACGACTCTTCCTGTCTTCGGTTTTTCAATGAGATATCTGACGAATAAAACGGATCCGGGTAGATTGATGCCATTACAGACGTATTTCTTTTATGATCGAGATAAGAGCCCGCTTTATGAGATAACATATATTCTGCAAACTCTCGGCATATTTATGGTTGCCGCTGCGTACACCGGTACAGATTGTTTTTTAAGTCTGCTGGTCTTTCACGTGTGCGGTCAACTGGAAAATCTCAAGGCACGCGTCATCGATCTCAATAAATTTAACAATTTCGAAAGCGTTCTATCTTATAGCATACAGGATCATATACGTCTCATCAGGTTATGCATCATGTTTAACCATCGATTATATCAAAGAATTTTTTTCTTGTTTTTTTTATTTTGCCATATAAAATTGGAGTATTTATTAAATATATAGACTTATATATAATTAATTTACGAAAAATTGAAACAATTAATGAATTGCTTTTGTAAATGTTCTATATTAGTAGAATAAGATAATGAAATCCTTTTTTAATTTAACTATTATAAAAATCCTTTTATAGAATTCTTTTATAGATTTTTCACATTTATAAAAATGATATAATAAGATGATTAAAATACTTATAGATATCGTTTTTCTTATTGTTAGTAATTTTCTCTTACAGATCAATCAATGTCATTGATAATATATTTGCTTTGATGCTACTTGCAGCGCTCTTTTACTTTGGCATACTATTCGCTTTTTACGGTTTTCTAATTGGTACTGTAAGTATTCTTCCTTGACTTGATTTATATAACTTTTTACTTTCATATAAAAAGAGAAAGAGAGAGAATGATTCTTTATGTACCTTATTTAATAGCATATATATTTTCTAGATACATAATGAATCATATTTTTTACAGAGAGAGGGAGAGAGAGAGAGAAATAAATATGTTTTTAAACATTAAATTTAAGAAAATAATACTTATATTTTGTTGTTATCTTTTAAATTTTAAATATTAATTTTTTGAAGTTTAAGAATAAATATAAATATTAATTTTTAATTTCAAATATATATTTAATATTATTTCAATATATTATTAAAAAATATACATATAAATTTAGATTACAAATAT